GTATCGTCCCATCGCGATGTTATCGTGCATTCGAAAATTGTTGGAGAAAATGATCCTTTTTCGCTTGGACAAATGGGTTGAGACGAACCACCTACTCTCAGATACTCAATTTGGATTCCGTAGGGGCAAGGGAACGAACGACTGTCTCGCGTTGCTTTCCACAGAAATTCAGTTGGCTTTTGCTAAAAAAGAGCAAATGGCTTCTGTATTCTTGGATATCAAGGGGGCTTTTGATTCAGTATCCGTTGAGGTCCTTTCAGACAAACTCCACGCTTGTGGCCTTTCTCCATTGATAAATAACTTTTTGTACAATTTGCTGTCAGAGAAACATATGAGCTTTTCTCATGGAAACTCTACAGCTTCTCGATTTAGTTACATGGGTCTCCCCCAGGGCTCATGTTTAAGCCCCCTTTTGTATAATTTCTACGTCAGAGAAATTGACAATTGTCTAAGTGACAACTGCACGTTGAGACAACTTGCAGATGACGGCGTAGTGTCTATGACAGGGCCCAAAGGGGTCGACCTGCAAGGACCCTTACAGGATACCTTAGACAATTTGTCTACTTGGGCTATTCAGCTAGGTATCGAATTCTTCACGGAGAAAACTGAGTTGGTCGTTTTTTCTAGGAAGCATAGCCCAGCACAACCAAAGCTTCAACTTTTGGGTAAACCGATCACTCATTCTATGTCCTTCAAATATCTTGGGGTCTGGTTCGATTCAAAATGCACCTGGAGATCCCACATTGAGTATCTGAGACGAAAATGCCAACAAAGGATCAATTTTCTCCGAACAATTACCGGAACGTGGTGGGGAGCCCATCCGCAAGATCTTCTAACGTTGTACCGGACAACGATTTTATCGGTTTTAGAATACGGTAGTTTTCAGTCGGCGGCTAAAACTCACATCATCAAACTGGAACGTATCCAGTATCGTTGTCTTCGTATCGCGTTAGGATGCATGCACTCGACTCATACGAAGAGTCTAGAAGTGTTGGCGGGCATGTTGCCACTATCGGATCGGTTCTCGGAATTGTCCCTCAGGCTCCTCACCCGTTGTGAAGTTATGAACCCACTGGTAATCGAAAACTTTGAAAAGCTTCTTGAGCTGAACCCTCAAACTCGTTTTATGTCATTGTACTACGTGTACATAGCACAGGATGTCAGCCCTTCACAGCATAATCCTCATCGTGTATGCTTCTCCGACTTCGGCAATTCGGTTAGTTTTGATTTATCTATGACGCGGGAGATTCGTGGGATCCCAGAACATCATCGTTCCATGATTGTTCCGTCAATTTACGCTGCAAAGTTTGGCCAAGTTGATTCCGCAAGATCGTTCTTCACAGATGGATCACTAATAGAGTCGTCCGCTGGTTTTGGTATTTTTAACGAATTTCATAGCGCCTTTCGAATGCTTCAAGCTCCTTGTTCCGTATATGTTGCTGAGCTGGCGGCAATACATTATACGCTAGAAACGATCGCCTCACTTGCACCAGATCATTATTTTATTTTTACGGATAGTCTCAGTTCTGTCGAGGCTATTCGCTCTATGAGGCCCGTAAAGCACTCCTCGTATTTTCTCATGAAAATACGAGAGCTTTTAAGTGCTTTATCTTTAAGATCTTTTGTCATCACCTTTGCATGGGTCCCATCTCATTGCTCGATTCCGGGCAATGAGGTAAAAAAAAAATAAAAAAAGGTATCTTTGTTTCTAAGAACCCATGGACTGTTAAATGAAAAAGAAAATCTTTTCGAATTTACCAGAGCTTTCATGGTTTTGACGTAAGCTGTCAAATTTGGCAGCTGGGTCAACAAAAAATATGTTTGTTTTTAAAAGCGATTTCTTGTTGATTCAATCATATACATTTTATTAAGCCTGAAAATATACGCAGTAGAAATAAAAATATGTTTATAGATTCAATATTTAATAATTTGCGATTATTTTTATGTTTTGTTATCTTTTTGTAATAAACAGAATTACAATTGAATCTAAAAAACCTTTCTGAGGCATAAATCTCTCCGGTTCATGAGTTGATGGGTCGATAGGTAGGGTCCAGGTGTGGAAGCGGCCTTCCTGGCGTCGGGAGCATTGGTACTCAGTACTGAAAACAAGATTGACGGAAAAAAATCAAGGAAAAAAGAAAGAAAACTGTTTACATTTAGCAACTGCAGCATACTTACTTACCTCAAGTCTCAAGATTTTCGGAAATCTTGCTTTTTTTCCGAAATTCACAATTAAAAACAATATCACGTCGAACGCGGAAAAGAGCTGAATCAAACGAGAACAGTATTGTGTCATTGTTTACATTTTTTCCGGGAACGAGGGAATGGTGGGTAGTTATTTTTGCATTCATGGCACGGGGAATAGACACAACAAATAAATGCTAAATTAAAATTAACTATTGTTGGCTTAATAAAAGAATATTGTTATTTTTACAATAGTTGCAGTTGAAGAAAGGCTTATTAAAACAAACAAAAATCTTATTTTGTATTTATTTTAATAAGTATTATCGGAACAATAAAATGCAATATAATTTCAACCGGATTTGTTTGTTTAAATACAAATAAAGTTTTTTTGATTCAATTCAAACAATTTTCTGTCCGTGTACTTGTAAGTGAATTGAAGAGGTTATAAAGTATATGTTTCGCACATGAAACCTGTCAATTTTGCTTGCAGAGTGTCACAATCAGCTATTTTATGATTTGTGAACGTTCACGCTCAGAGTGCTCGCGAGTCGTAAAATCACTCATTGTGACTATCTGAAAGCGAAAGCGTCAAACACTATCCTTTCAACCTATTCTTGTGTCTAACAAGTACAAAATATCATTATAACATCTAATGATTCCAAAATTCCGAAAACTTTTTTTATAGCAGTAGTAGAAGCATGCCTGCCATTATGTAATTCCCGTGTTATCAGGAAGCTCTCTTGAGCTTTAGGGATTAATAAAGATGTTCAGGACATTATTCAAGACTATATTGAGCCTGTAGATAGTCAAGATCGTAGCTCCAGAATAGTTTGGAGATCAGCATTGTTACCATTCTATGAAGCTTTGCAAAGTTCGGATGATGTATTGAATAAGTCGGGATCGTGCGTACCAAACCACATTGAGCTTATCATAGAACATCAAAATCTTAGCTCCAGGACATTTTGGAGAACTTTGGCGACATCTTGATCTTAATATTATGTTTAATGATTAATGTAAGTACATATTAATAAAACTTTTTTAAATAATGCAGAATAAGCAAGAAAATCTTTTTACCTACCTCCTTGTATGCAAATTCCCCTTAGTATTTACGATGGTTGAACTCTTGGAGACGAACAGCCAGTGGCTAAAAATCTCCTTAATGAAGATAAAAAAAAAGATGGTTGAGCTCTGAGAGGGACAGTTAACAAGCAAGGTTTTGCGCGGCTTCCCATAGTTCGGGCTGTTATAATTCTATTTGAGATATTTTATCACCATTAGAAGCGGAACTAAATTTACTAAAAACTCTACGAAAAATGCACACATATGCACTCATCGAGGAACTAGAGTGTGATGCGCGAAAAAAAAAAAACTCTAAATTTCTACGTTTCACTAAATTTGCTTTAGCTCAGGCTGTGGTTATTTGATTCTGGAGTTTGTACCGCAAGATTATCCCCGTACTTATTTATGAACACGCTAAGCTCGGGTAATCCCCAGCCACCAGATCCGAAAAACAATATGCCATAGAGTGCAATAAAGGGGTCACCTCGTCAGCACCCCACTAGGTGTACAGGAAGCCAGCACAGGTGAACTTAAAAACATAATTTAGGAACAGTTGTTTTTCCCATAAGACCCATGTATTGCGGGTAGTGACTTATACCATCAGAAAGGGGATAACTATCAGAGCATGATAGCTAGTAAAGGACATATCAAATTCACCTCTCCTCACCTTGCCAATCTCCTTTTCAAGGTATCACGACCATACGATAGTTGAGAATGATGATAGGGGTACATTAGTGTGTTAATATAACTGCAACTGAAGAAATAGGGTACCAACAGTTTGTAAAGAATCAGTCCAAGACTAGTTACATCATTGGTTGCTGGCTGTAACATGCAAATTAACACCTACACAGATAAAAATTCTGAATTTTAATTGCTACATTGCATGACATTTGTCAGAACTTTACATGATATATAATGTAAACGTATATGATATGTGACGCTCCATTTATGTGCATTATATTGAACAGAAATTTACACTTCTTTTTCGAACTGTGTATTAGTGAGATTATTTTAAATAAATATGTCCACCCACTGAAAGGTCTATACCCCCTGAATAACCTTGGGCAAGACAGCAACCTTCTATGTGGTCAGGACCACAAGATATTCATTCGTAGTTGTCAATGATAATAAAAGCACTTAAACAAACAGATACCGTGTAAAAACCAATATTATTTTGAGACACCTCAGAAAAAAACCGCATCATTCGGGAATCCATGTAAAAAACCAAGTAAAAAAAACGTGCAAAAAGAGATTGCAATGTATTTACTCGTGGGGTAATGTCCCTAATGTCGACCTAAGTAACCCTTATATTGAGTCCATACATAAATTTAGCAGGAAATCATTTTTTCGCAATGTTTCACTAGCAATCAAAAATATCCATTAGTTAATCTCCCTGCAGGAACTCTTAGCAAAAGTATTAGATCTGAAGATTATAATGTTTTGCCTCTAGTTTTATGGTTATTTTTATCCAAGTAGTTAGAAGACATCGAATAAGGCAGAGATGACGGATAGGTATGTTGTATGTTTTTTAAACCCATAAGTGGAACACTTACCCTAGTTTCAAACTGCTAAATGTTGGGAAAGGGCATGCCTTCCTGCGCTCGTCCGTAAATCTGGTATGTGAAACTATGGTCTTTTATTGTAGTTTATGTGTACTCCCGATTCCCAAGACCTCTATTATATTCAAGCTTAACTACACTATCATAACAAGTTTATGAACGAGGGAAGATTAATATGTGCTTATGTTATTTTTTTAGACGGACACATTCATTCTATCGGAGGAGCAGGTGACGATTTCAACCTGTCTGGATGTTTATATCGTGTTATTGACCTTGAAGAAGCGGATAAAGAAACAATACATCTATTAGTTTTCCTGCTTATGCAATTCATGTCGCGAGTTGATTTAGTATGTTATTAAATGATACCACACAGCAAAAAAATAATTTTGATATCACGTCAAAGTGGATGCACTACAATCATGTCGAAAATATGGTGTAATATTACTTGCTAAAAAGGACAAAATTATCATTAATACAATGCATGAACTGACATTACGCTGCTTTTACTGCATTTGTTTATTTATGTGGTCATAAAAATTACATGAAATTTTCGACATGATTGTAGTGCATCCACTTTGATGTGATATCAAAATTATTTTTTTGCTGTGCATAATGCATTTCTTATGAGGAATGATTCTGTTGTAGGCCTACCCAACGGATGAAAAACCAATGGTTAAACAACAATCGATCGTTTTGCGCCATCTCTATTTACTTCTTGGCTATAATCAAACAGAAAAATTGTTCCATACACCTCCAACGCGGCTCAGAACATCAGCAGTATTCAACTCATTTATAGCAAATTTACCACAAGTTTTGGATCAAAACCACTTGATGGGATGGCTCCTGTTACCAACTGTTATACAGGTTCTTTTATATGCACCGAATCAGGGTAATGGCCTTCTACAATCTGGAAACGAAGCTATACATAGTATTTCAAATACTTTTTCACTGTGGTACATGGAAATTCATGTTCGTCGTAACTGGATGATGTCGTTGCTGGTAATATTGTATAAATATCAATATAATCAACCACCATATGCAGATCAGATACAGAATTTATTACGGATCATCATAAACTCGCTCGAATCCCATTTCCATCTATGTCGAAGAATACCGGCGACCGTTGTAATGGACATGCCTTCTCGGTCCCGAGACTTGAGCCAGCCGTCACTGGTAACTGAACACGACGATAAATTGCAGGAAACTCCTCCGCCCAGTCCATTGTTTTATACAGAAGGGTTATTACATGGCCACTCCTCAAAACACAAACCATCAAAGACAAATCCACTGGGATTTCGAAAATATCCTGATTCAAGCTTGGAAACAGATGATACAGAATCGGAATTAGTGGCTATACCAGAAAGTGATCTCTCTGATAGTACACTTCAATTGAGCAGTGCACCTGTATGTAATCCATAAATACAATCATTCCATCTCATCTAACCTTTAATCTATTACAGAATTCCTTCGATGATACTGCTCATTTTGATGATATATGTGCGCCCCTGAAGCCTGAAGTCGTTAAAAATAAAGTCACAACGCATGTGACAACTGCTAATCTCGCAACTGCTCAAGTAGCTATATCAACTATAACAACAGGTGAAAAAGACGATAAAGCTGAGCTCTCCAAAAAACTGCAAAAAATAATGTCGTCAGCTAGTGGTAACGAAAACTCTACATCAGGTCATGTAACTAGTGGTGCATTAACTAATAAAGTTGCTCTGCCGGCAATGCCACAGAAGTGCTCAGTACAGGAAGGTGTGCGAATGATGGTGACTTCCTCCATGCTGGGCCAACCAAAAGCACAGGCTATACTAAATCCACCGGCCAATGTCCAGAAAGCCATTGTAGTAACCCAAAATACATCAGTCGCTATTGCTAAACCTAAAGAAAACATGGTTTCTAAAATAGCTACAACAAATATAGAAGGTAACATCCTGAAACGTCTATAAAGTACAGCGAGGCAAGTGGGAGCTGAAAATGGTATCGTTGAGCATTGTGTGATTGCGTAATCAACCTACAATAATCATTGTTTTCATAGTTTTAAAGCACAGTCATTATGTGTTGGCGTCGCTGCACAAGTGTATACCCATAAAAAATCAAATATTATTCCATTGGATTATCAGTTAAAAATTATGACTGCGATATGGAATGATTTCTTTCGTAAGTTCAGATACTTAGTACATGACATTCCTTTGCTTTGAACGTGGTTAGCGAAGGGTTAGCTGTATAAGAATATTGTGCGATATATATTATAGTGTAACGGCGCCGGTGATGTAGTGGTAAGCGTGATAACCTCTCACCCCAGCAGGCCTGGGTTCAATCCCAGTCGGCGCCGCCGGGATGTTCTGAGGCATAACATTTCTGATCACGCCTTCCTTCGGATGGGAAGTAAAGCCGTTGGTCCCCGGTTCATGAGTTGATGGGTCGATAGGTAGGTCCAGGTGTGGGAGCTGCCTTCCTGGCACGTCGGTAGCATTGGTGCTCAGCACGGAAAACAAGATCGACGGAAAAAACAAACCAAAGGAAAAAAAAAATATTATAGTGAAGAACTGTTGATATGTCATATATTAACTGTTGGACAAAGTCATATAAGTTTGCTCTATAAGAAAATCAAGTAAAAATACCTGTTTACGGTATGAATATCGCTCACTTAGAGATATATATTATATATGACGATCATGTATATTTTATTGAAGTGACTTTTAACGATTTCTGACATTTGGTGATATGTCTAGCGTGTAAACAGCCATTTAAAAACTATTGGAAAGTCATTTTAGTTAGTCACTTCGAGTTTGCTATGAAGTTAATCTCGGGCACTATTGTGATTTGAGGCACTAAATTGTCATCACAGTTTTGTTATTGCAAGAGCAAATTTACATTATGTCGTAAGTAACATTCGCACCAATCCGAGAAAAATAAAGTTTTGTTTTGATGACCGAAAAGTTATTCCTATTTCCAAGTAAACACATATAATCTCATAGTGATAGCAATGTTTAACATATTTAGCAGGGTTTTAATCATACAAATGCAAATCGCTAGCTTTCATGCTAAAAAATACTGGTTTTTGAGTCAAAAGTTATTACACGTCGTTTGGTGGCCCCTATTGTTACATAAGTCAAAGTGTATTTACCAGGATATTCGGGAGAATTATCAATTACGTCTCCTTACGTGCAGCCCATTCATCATTTTAGGACCACCGAAATCATCTTAGCAACAAACAGTTCGATTTATTCACTTTAATAATGAGAAAGCGAAACGACGAACGTACACTTTTCACGGGTTTCTCAGCGCTGTTACTTAAGTCAAACGGCATCTCCATAGAAATTGGGTGACTTAAGTAACATCGAAAACTATTTTGATCGGAAGGTGATTACGTCAAAAAGCAATTTGACTGGTAAATAAATTTAAAAATAAGATTTGATCCTATATTCGGACAGCATATAGTGTAATAGCAAGAGAATCGATTGACACTGATAGCTCGACTTTGTTTACCTTTGTTACATTCGACGTAATGGAAATTTGCTCTTGATTGTATGTTTTCCGGTAGCAGATAATGGACTCCTGGAAAAAGCGAAGTGGAACCAGAGCCCGAGGTTCTGGATCGTATCACCTTAAAACAATTTCTATGTAAATATCCCTTCAGACCGATCGCGTTTGTCATAGTGGTCTTTGGTATTTTGTTCATGATTCCCTTATAAAAATTCTGGGACTTTGAACAGTTATCTGAAGTCAATGACTTGGAAAATTGGTAACTACACTGCCACACTTAGAAAAAATTACCGACTTCGGTAATTCATTTACCGAATTCTCAACAGCTGAACGGTCGGTAATGTGTTCGGTAATCGTAACCGAAAAATCTGTAAACTGAATCAGCAAAATTAGCTGTCAAATTTACCGAACGATCGGTAACGTTTACCGAAAAAACAAGCTTGATTTGTAATTGCTTTTACCGGAGAAAATGAAAATTACCGAAAGATCTGTAATTTTTTTAAAAGTCTACCGACTTAAATTTAATTCGCTTTAATATTGTTTCAATGTGTTTTTCGGGTTTTATCAATTATACAAATTAAATACAAATACTCCGATGAATATTTTTGTTAAGTTCATTCAATGATGTCTCTGATTCACGGGTAGAACTTGCTTCATTGCATTGAGTAAATAGGCATTTCATGACCGATGAAAAGGGTTTCCCCGAGTGGATCGTTTCCCTTCGTGATACTTCCGGCTGGAACAAAGCTTTCAAGTGGATGCTTTTCAATGATATGGCTTTTTAAAGAATAGAAGTTATTTTTATCTTGCATCACATTTCTGATATGTACAATAAAAAATTGTGTTTGCCGGTTTATGTGGTTATTGATGAAAAAACAAGCAACAGCATTGCCATCTGTAACAATGGGCATTTATTTAGATAACGAAATATCATTACTTACGGAAAATATCTACGAATCGCTCATATTGGTGTTGCAGCTGGTCCATAACAGCCTCCATAATTGCACTTTTTTATTTTTCACAAGTTTCCACTTACATTTTTTTTTTAAGAAGGTCGAAAATCACAATATGGTGAATTTGACGTTTCTCGCTGTGAAAACTACCGAACTCGGTAATGGAACGGTTTGTTTACCGAACCTTCAGTAAAATATTTCACCGAAGTCAGTGATGAAGCTGATTTACAGATCTGCCGGTAATTTTTTTTACCGTTTTCGTTGAATTGAAATGAAATCACCGAAATTCGGTAATTTTATTTACAGTTTTCAGCAATAGAGCGAGAAAATACCGAAACATCTGTAATTTTTAGGATTACCTATCTAAGACGATAATTTTTTTTACCAAACTCAGGGTCTCTGTTTAAGTGTGTGCAATGCTTATTTCTGTTTGCAAACTTTGTAAACATATCAAACAGAAATGAATAAATAGTGTATTACTGAATTATAAGTGGGGATGGGTGGCATTCACTAGCCCGAGAATACCCTCCACATGCAAGCCTCTTCACCAACCATACATCAGTACACATTTATCGAGTCAGTAATTTTTAGCGAGTTTTTGAATTGCGGAACTCTTCGGTAAAATTTAAAAAATCTGTGAAAAATTCAAAGTTGAAAAAATGTGTTACGAAAATTTACTTCTGTTAACCCCGTGTAATGATGAAAAATAAAAATTTTCTATTTTATCCAATCTTTACGAATAACAGTCATTTGAATTTTAACCGAGTCAGTAATCCAAAAATCCAGTAAAAATACTAACTCATGTAGAAAAATCTAAGTGTGTATACAGATGCAGCGGAGCTCCACACTCCTCCATCGAAACAGCACCGTAGCTGAGCTGCGAGTGCTATGAAATAAAAAGGACATCGACTTATTACCTGGGGGGACGTGCTGTCAAATCAGCCTACTGATCATTCTTGTATGAAACTGGTTCCAAACGTAAACAAGCCATAAGAAACTTACAGCATTTGTTTACGTTTGGAACCAGTTTCATACAAGAATGATCAGTAGGCTGATTTGACAGCACGTCCCCCCCAGGTAATAAGTCGATGTCCTTTTTATTTCATAGCACTCGCAGCTCAGCTACGGTGCTGTTTCGATGGAGGAGTGTGGAGCTCCGCTGCATCTGTATACACACTTATAGCGAATTCGTTTATTATTCAGTTCCAACCTGGATCGGGTATCAAGATTGGGTCTGCTTGTTTTCTGACAAACGTCAGTTTGCTCGTTTGTTTTTAAAACCTAGCTCAGGTTGAGGTTCACACTGACAAAAAGTTCGGTTTCGCACTGGGTTGCAACTGGTGTTAACCCCGATAATAAACGAATTCGCTATTAGATTTTTCTACATGAGTTAGTATTTTTACTGGATTTTTGGATTACTGACTCGGTTAAAATTCAAATGACTGTTATTCGTAAAGATTGGATTAAATAGAACATTTTTATTTTTCATCATTACACGGGGTTAACAGAAGTAAATTTTCGTAACACATTTTCTCAACTTTGAATTTTTCACAGATTTTTTAAATTTTACCGAAGAGTTCCGCAATTCAAAAACTCGCTAAAAATTACTGACTCGATAAATGTGTACTGATGTATGGTTGGTGAAGAGGCTTGCATGTGGAGGGTATTCTCGGGCTAGTGAATGCCACCCATCCCCACTTATAATTCAGTAATACACTATTTATTCATTTCTGTTTGATATGTTTACAAAGTTTGCAAACAGAAATAAGCATTGCACACACTTAAACAGAGACCCTGAGTTCGGTAAAAAAAATTATCGTCTTAGATCGGTAATCCTAAAAATTACAGATGTTTCGGTATTTTCTCGCTCTTTTGCTGAAAACTGTAAATAAAATTACCGAATTTCGGTGATTTCATTTCAATTCAACGAAAACGGTAAAAAAAATTACCGGCAGATCTGTAAATCAGCTTCATCACTGACTTCGGTGAAATATTTTACTGAAGGTTCGGTAGTTTTCACAGCGAGAAACGTCAAATTCACCATATTGTGATTTTCGACCTTCTTAAAAAAAAATGTAAGTG